GACGGGGGTGTTCACCAGTTCACCCCTGCCTACGAGCGTGTGACACACTGCACGTGTGCTCGTACGGGCCGCCACTTGGCTACCTTCACCCGGCAGCCGGGGTCGGACCTGTACACACTGACTACTGCCTCCCCTCAGGTCGCTGCGTCTGCGTCTGCGTTTGCGTCCGCGTCAGGTCAGCTGTCTGCCCCCTGCTCGTGTCGCTCTCTAGCGCACGAGACTGTCCTCTGGCACCACAGACTTGGCCACCCGTCTGTGCAGCGCCTTCGTGCCATGCACTCCCGGTACCTTGTCTCTGGTCTTCCCAGGGTTCTCCCTCCTCTCCCACCCTCGCCTGCTCCTCCCTGCCTTCCTTGTGTCGAGGGGCGGCAGCGCGCCGCTCCTCACTCCTCCTCGTTTCCCCCGACGACTGCTCCTTTGCAGACGCTCCACATGGACGTGTGGGGCCCAGCCCGCGTCCGTGGTCAGGGTCAGGAGAGGTACTTCCTGATCGTTGTTGACGACTACTCGCGCTACACCACGGTCTTCCCCTTGCGCACCAAGGGTGAGGTCCCTGATGTTTTGATCCCTTGGATCCGCAGAGCTCGTCTCCAGCTCAGCGAGCGTTTCCGCTCGGACTTTCCTGTCCTGCGCTTGCACTCTGACAGAGGTGGTGAGTTCTCCTCCGACCTCTTGGCAGCCTACTGTGCTGAGCACGGCATTGAGCAAGTCGTTCACGCTTCCGGCCTCTCCACAGCAGAATGGGGTTGCGGAGCGCCGCATTGGCCTGGTCATGGAGGTCGCTCGTACCTCCTTGATCCATGCGGCTGCCCCCCATTTTCTGTGGCCGTTTGCGGTCCGGTACGCTGCGCATCAGCTCAACCTCTGGCCCCGTGTCTCCTTGCCGAAGACCTCGCCCACACTGCTGTGGACGGGGGAGGTAGGCGATGCGTCGCGTTTCCGGGTCTGGGGATCTCGAGCTTTTGTTCGCGATTCGTCTGCGGACAAGCTCTCCTCTCGTGCTGTTCCCTGCGTCTTCCTCGGCTTTGTTCCGGACGCACCTGGTTGGCACTTTTACCACGCCACCTCGCGCCGGGTCTTGCCCTCTCAGGACGTCACTTTTGACGAGTCTGTCCCCTACTACCGCCTCTTCCCCTACCGCACTGCCCCGCTCCCACCCCCGCCTCTCTTCCTCGCGCCAGGTGCTGCTGTCGTAGACCCCCTTCCCCCTCAGGGTGCCGCTCCCTCAGGTGTGTCTCAGGTAGACCCGGTCGAGCCTGTTGAGGTTACTGTCGACTCTCGTCCTGCTGGGGGTGCTGAGCCTGGGGGTGCGGACACTGGGGGTGCTGAGCCTGGGGGTGCGGACTCTGGCGGTGCTGAGCCTGGGGGTGCGAACACTGGGGGTGTTGAGCCTGGGGGTGCTGAGCCTGGGGGTACGGTGACTGGGGGTGCTGAGCCTGGCGGTACTGCGCCAGGGGGTCCTCCGCCTGGCCGAGACCTCTCCTCGGAGCAGTTGCGTGAGTGGTACTTACAGTACTGCAGCCTCCGGAGGGGTACCTCTGGGACCAGGCGCGCTACGGAGACTGGTGCTGGCACTTCTCCTTCTAGTCGGGAGCTCCCCTCTCGTGAGCGGATCCGTGAGTGGTACGAGCGCCGTTGCACACTTCGTAGTGGCGCGCCTCGTCTCACGGACCCTGCTGTCGCTAGTGCTGCGGACCCGGGCGTTGGAGCTGCTGCTGGTGCTGCGGACCCGGGCGTTGGAGCTGCTGCTGGTGCTGCGGACCCGGGCGTTGGAGCTGCTGCTGGTGCTGCGGACCCGGGCGTTGGAGCTGCTGCTGGTGCTGCGGACCCGGGCGTTGGAGCTGCTGCTGGTGCTGAGGACCCGGGCGTTGGAGCTGCTGCTGGTGCTGAGGACCCGGGCGTTGGGGCTGCTGCTGGTACTGCGGACCCGGGCGTTGGAGCTGCTGCTGGTGCTGAGGACCCGGGCGTCGGAGCTGCTGCTGGTGCTGAGGACCCGGGCGGTGGAGCTCCTGCTTGTACTGCGGACCCGGGCGTTGGAGCTGCTGCTGGTGCTGAGGACCCGGGCGTTGGAGCTGTGACTGGTGCTGAGGACCCTGGTGTTGGAGTCCCTGCTGGTGCTGCGGACTCGGGCGCTGGTACTGCCGCTGGGGGCACTGGTGCTGTCCTTGCTGTGTTTGGAGTCGCCGCGCGCCCTCAGCCGTACTTCGTTCCGCTCCTTCAGCAGGTTCTTGGTCTCTCGCCTCCTCCTGGTCCTCCCCCTCCTTTAGTGTGTCCACAGCCTGTTCAGTCACTACCTGCTCCTTCTCCTTACTCTGGTCCTACTGACGGTCTTACTGAGCGTCGTGAGCCTGCGTCTCGCCCTGCGTCGCTTGTCCGTCCTGCTAGCACTGGAGCTCGTACTTCGCGTCCACGTCCTCCTCCTGCCCCTGTCACGCACCGGATGTCTCTGCGTCCGTCCACTGCCCCTCTGCATGCCCCTTTGCCTTCTCCTCCTGCTTCCTCTCTTCCTGCTCTTGCCGACCCGGAGTCGGACTCTCTTCGTGCTGCCAGTCCTACTGTCACGCGTCTCCTTGCTACTGCCGTCACTGACCCTTCTTTCGAGTCTTCTGCTGCGTCTGCCCTAGTTGCTGAGCTCGTCGACTTTGCTGCTCGCTGTCGTCTTGACTACGCTGCTAGTCTTGTCGCTGAGTCTGAGTCTGTCTGTCCTCCGTCCGTCGGGGGTGCGTGTGCCCTTGGCACGGACGTCCTTGAGGACAGGCAGGAGGAGTTTCAGTGCTTGGCTGCCGCTTCACCTCATCTCGCGTCTGTACTGCTAGCTCCTGAGGGAGACCCGGATGCACTAGACATCCCGACTCCGCGCTCTTACGCGGAGGCGATAGAGGGTCCCTACTCCTCTCAGTGGCAGGCAGCTATGGATGCAGAGATGGCTTCCTGGAAGTCCACAGGCACCTACGTTGACGCTGTCCCCCCTCCTGGGGCGAACATCGTCAGTGGCATGTGGATCTTCAGGGTGAAGCGGCCGCCGGGTTCTCCGCCTGTCTTCAAGGCGCGTTACGTTGCTCGTGGCTTCAGTCAGCGGCAGGGAGTTGACTACTTTCAGACCTTCTCCCCCACCCCGAAGATGACCACTCTTCGGGTACTCCTGCACGTTGCTGCTCACCGGGACTACGAGCTTCACTCTCTCGACTTCAGCACTGCTTTCTTGCAGGGCAGCCTGCACGAGGAGATCTGGCTGCGTCGCCCACCTGGCTTCACTGGGTCTTTCCCTCCTGGTACCCAGTGGAGTCTCCGGCGTCCAGTCTACGGTCTCCGCCAGGCGCCACGTGAGTGGCACGACACACTGAGGACCACGCTGGCGGCACTTGGGTTTGCTCCTTCTACTGCCGACCCGTACGTCGACACTTCTCTGCCGCCACTTCTCTGCCGCCATTCTACATCCTCGTGTATGTCGACGACTTGGTCTTTGCCACTGCTGACACTGCTGCCATTCTACATCACCGACACTTCTCTGCCGCCATTCTACATCCTCGTGTACGTCGACGACTTGGTCTTTGCCACTGCTGACACTGCTGGACTCGCCTACGTGAAGTCCGAGCTGCAGAAGAGACACACGTGCACTGACCTGGGTGAACTGCGCAGCTACCTTGGCTTGCAGATCACCCGGGACAGAGCACGCCACACCATTACCCTGACTCAGTCACACATGGTGCAGCAGGTCCTTCAGCGCTTCGGCTTCACGTACTCCTCGCCTCAGGCCACTCCTCTGTCTACTCGCCACTCGCTCTCAGCTCTGCCTTCGGATGAGTCCGTAGAGTCGAGTGGCCCGTACCCAGAGCTTGTTGGCTCTCTCATGTACCTGATGACCTGCACACGACCTGACCTTGCATACCCTCTTAGCATTCTTGCGCGCTATGTTGCTCCTGGGAGACACCGACCAGAGCACATGGCTGCAGCGAAGAGGGTGTTGCGTTACTTGTGCAGTACGTCGGGCATGGGACTAGTGCTTGGAGGGCGGAGTCCAGTGGTCCTCACTGGTCACGCGGACGCTTCTTGGGCTGACGACCAGGCTACGCAGCGGTCGTCACAGGGTTACACCTTCAGCCTTGGTTCCGGCTCTGTTTCGTGGCGGGCTACTTGCTCGTCTTCTGTTCTCGGCTCCAGTTGTGAGGCTGAGATCTACGCAGGGGCCATGGCTGCTCAGGAGCTTCGCTGCCTCACCTACCTGCTGACCGGCCTTGGAGAGCCGCCTCGTTCTCCTCCAGTCCTGTACGTCGACAACAAGGCCATGCTGGCCTTGTGTCGAGAGCAGAGACTGGAGCACAGAACAAAGCACATTGCTCTCCGCTACTTCCTTGCTCGTGAGCTCCGGCAGCGTGGTCAGTTGCAACTTGCGTACGTGGCCTCTGAGGCCAACACTGCTGATGTTTTCACCAAGGCACTTGCGCCTTGTGATCATCAGCGCTGCTGTACCCAGCTGGGTCTTGTGTCTGTCTTGCCTCACTTGCTCTCCTCTTGACCCTCTTTGTACTGTTCCATATATATATCACTGCTCTTGCTTGTTTAGTCTTATATATATATATATACTCCTGCATGTGAACTAGGCCTTGTGGCCTTGAACTTGTGCTTGGATTGTGTGGTGACGTTGTGATCCACCCTGAGCTTGCTTTGCTTTACTTGACTGGTCTTGTGACCCCTAGTTCTCCCCCACTTCGCCTATGGGGGTGTGTCAAACATTATATCTAATGTTGTAGTTGTTTAGGCTACAGTGGGTTAGCCTGTAGGGGGTACACACTTCTAGGTTTCCATATTTGTACTCATTCGTTCTTAGTCATTTCATTCCTCGTTCAACAGACGTCAGACACCAAGTTGGGTTTTCGCGCACAGCAGTCGCACACTGGGCACGCAGAGCTGGCGCTCAGGCGACGCCAGACTGTAAATCTCCCGCCATAAACGACTGGAACTCGGCCTAGAGCGACCAACTTTCATCCATACAGTGCAATATGAGTGGCATCAAATTTCTCAAGCGCATCTTTGCGGTCGCAAACATGACGGACGACAGCGACGAAGGGGTCACCCTCCAGCGGGACCTCCCATATGAGGCTGGGGAGGATGGTGACAGCGAGGATGACCTGAACCTGGACGAGATGTTGGGGTACATGCAGCAGCTCAAGCAGAGCGGGGTTAAGCTCGGCAAGAAGAAGAAGAAGAAAAAGGGTCGCCTAAGCACTATCCTAGCAAGCCCTAGCAGCGACGGTGCGGGACCATCGTCAACACCTGCTGACACGGCAGCGCAAACTACGCCGGCCACTACGGCGGCCTTCACGGTTGCCGCCGTAACCGAGTTGGCCGCTCCATCTGACAATCCTATGCCTCTCGCCGCAAGTACCGGAACCACTACCGATGCATCTGCTGCTGTTTCTATTCCTGTTGGCGCGACCACCGAAATCACACCCGCGGTGACAGTGGTCAACGCAGCATCGGTCTCCACTCCATCTCCCAACACTGCTCTCGCCTCTGCTGGTGCTGCAAATCAAACCTCCACTGTTGTTGACGCTTCAGGCGTCACTGCCGTAGCCGCTGATAACCCAACTGCCGGCACTGCCGCTGGCAGAGTTGTCGAATCACCTTTGGGGTTTTCCGTTCCAGTAAACGCCCGATCCAGTAAGTCCGCGTTATGTCGTCATACTTTTCCAATGCCGGATGCGTTTCCACAGTTGTTTATTGATGCATAGTAATGTTAATCACCGGTGTTGTGCTTGTGCATGCATTTCTCTGTGCCAATTGTTCCGGCAGATCACGCAGCAGCTGTTGAGGCCTTCCAGCTGCAAGGTCAGATTGATGACCTTCGAACAACCCTTCGGCAAACACAGGAGCGCGAGAGGGAGTTGTCGAACCTCCTCTCAGAGCGTGACGCCGAGGTATCAGCGCTAAACCAGCGCTGCGCTGAGTTCATCAGGCTGAACGAGCAGCTCATCCAGGATCTGTCCGCTGCTCAGGGTACGGGAGTACTCGCTGTACCGCGTCATGTCCCTCCCACTTTCAACATGGATCGCATCCCCCGCGACGCCAATGGCGCTCTCATCATCCCCCCACTTGTCAGCCATGATCAGCATTTTGGGGTAAGATTCGGTGCCTTGTGCTCGTTTTCCATGCGGGTGTATTTTTACTATCCTCGGAAGTTGCTTCCGAAATTAAGTCTAGGTTTTTGCATTTTTTACTTATTAACGTCCGTGTTCTACTCCTTCCGTGTTTTACCTTCGAGAGAAAGGCAACCGAGGCGTTCACGTACCTGTTGTTGGATGCGCCTGCACGTTCGATGCAGTTCTACCCTGAGTGGGCGGAGTTCCGGGAGGTCGCGTGTATGAAGTACGAGAACGCGGGCGTGCAGTCTGACGTATTTTACTACGTCATTAGCAACGACCCCAACAAAGAGGCGCTGGCCATGCGGAAGTGACAAAATTAAGAAGCTACCTAGGCTAGGAGAAACCCTAGCCTAGGAGCATAGGTGGGGTAGAACGTGAGTGACGAGAGATTTTTGTCAAGACAAAAGAGAGGGTTCACTATAGAGCGAGCAGTACAAATAGGCAAGAAAGAAGAAAGGTGCACCACCAAACAGAAACTTCTATGACTACAGTATTCTACACTATAGGCAGTTACAAAACAATATATATAGTTATATATTATTCTGACAGGAAGGCCTCAGAGAAGCGCTCCAATGTCAACTCCGACGCCAAGACCTACGGGAGGGGCCCCGGTGGGTGCGTTCCAGAGTCGAAGTGGAAGATTCTCGCTGAGGAGAATGTCGCGCCGTCCACCTCGCGCACCCCTCTGGAGTGGTGCCGTTTCTATTAACATCGTAAGTTATTGTGTACTAATTTATTCTATTTAATTATTTTTTATGGAATGACTCCTAACGCCCGTTTTCCGTGCCTTGTGTCGCAGATGTTTACGGCCTTGGCGCAAACAGGCATTTTGACCCGATAACAAACCGACCGTACGCGAACCATCCTTTCCAGCTTGCCCTTCTTCGTGGGCTTGGAAGCAAGCGTGCAACAACTATGGCTGTGAAGATTCCCACTGTGGGCTATGTGTTGAACGTGGTGAGTGCAGGAGATTTCTTTATTCCTCCTAATGTTTTATTTTTAAGGAAACTAACTAAACCCTAAACCCTGTTGCAACTGCAGGTGGAGTGGCCCTTGGTGAATGCCAGGGGCCGCCTTACCCCGGCACTGGACACTGCTGAGGCAGTGAACCGCCGGAATGTTGCTCTGAAGATAGACCACGTTGCGGCCTGGATCAAGGCCACCTATGACGTAGGGGATGTGGCTATCTGGGAATACAGGCCTCCTGCTGGCTTCAACATGAGCCCTGTCATCAAGATCCTGGTGGAGGGCTTAGAGTCCTAGTTTTGGAAGAAAGGTGTAGCAGGTGCAATACTAGCCCGGTTTAGTAGGTTAGTGTAGGGGCCTCTAATTGTCGATGGAATTGATGACTCATGTGGTCTATGTACACGTGCAGAAACGAGTTTCCGGATAATATGATTAAATTGTATTGCACATTTGTAGAATACAAGCTTTTTATATATATTCATTTTCGATTAATAGTACACTACGGTACAGTATTATCTTGTCAATTCGATGCACCAAGATCAGTCTAATAACGCGTGGCGCCCTGTAACAAGGATTGTAACAGTGGAATTGTAACTTCAATAAAGTCACTCGATCCTCATTCGCATATCAGAGTAACACTCCAACAAAATAAATCGTTACGTCGCGCACTTTGCAACGTCAGGCCGTTCATGTTCGGGCCACGTCATCAACTAACCGAATGATGAATGACCATCCGCAGGAACATCTGTAAATCGAACTCACACAGCCGCACATTGTACCTCCTGTGCGCCGCAAAGCACCTGTACCCTTCAGTGATGGGGCATTACCAGTCCGCACTGTTCCGAATGTTTCCACGCATACGAAACCATCAAGGGAGTGGTCGATAGAGGGTGCCTATCGGCCTAACCCATCACACGTACACGGTGTGTTCGGAAACTCGCCAGAACCCAACCCGAAAAACCCAAACTCAACTCAAACACCCCAATCCAGGCGCCCGAACTTTCTGATGAGCTCGAAATCGGAGGAAATGACAAAGCGCCCTGTTTCCAAGTTTCCTATTCCTTTCGGCAGTAGGTTTTGACACCACCTCGGTTCGCGCTCGCGTCCGATACCTTCGGGCCGATAATTTCGCTAATTCCCTTTCCAAGTCCTACCAATCATAGTATATTTTGTTTATAGGGATATTCAAAATGAGGCGTCGCTTATTAACTAAAAGCGCGGAACAACGAAATATATAATCCCCTATTGGATGGCATGCCATTCGGGAGGCATCAACCCTAAACACCATGAGGCAAGGTGTTTAGGGTTGATGCCTCCCTAATGGCCAGCCATTCGAGTGGGTTTTATTTTTTTACACAGGCTACTAAACTAAAACCTGGTAGTCTTCATAAAATCCCTGGTCACAGGAAATTGGAAATCTCAGAAAAAACTGTCCCAAAGGAATCGGACGCGAGCACGAAGCAGGGTGGTGTCAAAACCACTGCCGAAAGGAATTGGAAACCAGAAAACAAGGCGCTCCGTCATTTCCTCTCGAAATCGCACATGATTTCGGTTTAACTAGCTAATCTGCCGCGAATGGCGGCCAAACGTGGCACCCAATCCCCGTTACAAATACGAGCATTTCCGATTCTTGACTTTCTATCTTCAATCGCGTCGGCTTCAGTGGCGTATTTCTTCGGCGTTAGAGGGCTTATTTTCGCGTTACAGGGTTCCTCGCTATCTGTTTCGAGTTCTTCCTTATTACCATCGAGCGCGATCAGAAAATTAGTAGATGGACGACGATCAACGAGGCTACAATCGTGTAGAAAATTCGAAGCGAAGGGGGTTGTAAGGGGTACAGACGTGGCCGTTGTCCACGTTCTCCAGCGTATTTTTTCCGTACTGACAGTCGTTTTGCTGCTCACGTTAACGGGTCGGCTTACAGCGGGGATTGAGTCGAACGCGAACCGCGAGAAAAGCTGCGGTAACGGTTCCGATCGTGTTGTCAACGCTGCTTCCCAACAACCGATACAACGCCAAGTGCCTCGACGGAAGGTACGAGTTCTGACTCAAAAAAAAGTCGCAGTAACGATACCGAGCGTGCTTGTAACGGTGCTTTCCAACAACCGATACAACGCCAAGTGCCTCGACTGAAGTTACGAGTGTGTTGACTGGCGTTGACGGTACTGAGCATGCTTGTAATGGTGCTTCCCAACAACCGATACAATGCCAAGTGCCTCGACGGAAGGTACGAGTTCTGAGGAGCTTTGAAACGCGGCGAGGAAATTTGCCGTAACGGTACCGAGCGTGCTTGTAATGGTGCTTCTCAACAACCGATACAACGCCAAGCGCCTCGACGGAAGGTAACCCGTCAAGATTGCCCCAAGCCAATCTTCTAGCACACGTAGAGAGAGGGGGACATAGTAGAGCCTTCTCTCGTCTCAACCCCGCCAATCTTCTTCCCAGCCCCCCGTGGTGCTACTTCCGCATTGGCTTATTTGGGATATAGTCCGTCGTCGTAGCCCATGTTAGGGTTGGTTCGCCCAACCACGAAACTTAAGGCGAAAGCATCTACGACGGCGGAATGACGGCGAAATGGAAGCGCGTATGTGAAACGGTGGAAATCGGCCTACGGTGGGGAATAGAGGCTACGGCGTGAGAAGCGGGAGAGAAATCGAGAAGGAATGTGTGAGAAGGTGGAAGAAGCATCGAGATTGAAGTTGGCGAGGGGAAATTGTGGTTCGAGCTCGAGGCGTGTTCGAGAAGGTTCCAGATTCGGTCTTGAGGAGTGTTCACTGAATTCGGTTCGGTTGCGTGTGCGATTCGGGGTGAAACGAGGCGCATGCGGTTACTTGGGAAACAAGTGAAGTTACAAATCGCATTTTGTGTCTTGCATGACTATAAAACTGCTTGTACTCATTCTGGAAATCATAACATTGGACAACATTGATACCAATAAGATTCTGAAATTTGCTGAAGTGTGAACTTCAAGCAGAGCTGCGCATATCGTTGGATTTGGGAGATCGTGGAGAACACGATAAGCAATAGCAAGTAGACTATTGCCGACTAATGCGTTTACGATCCTAAGAACTGGTATCAGAGCTTGGCGAACGGGCGCGTCGATCGTCGTGAATTCACTTGGTGCGCTAAGTGAAATTAGTGGAGAAGAGGAGTCGTTCACGCCTACGCTATGGGAGACGAGGCGAGTTCGGGTTCCAGTGTGAGTCTCGGAGACCCGCAGTTGAAGGCTCTCCTCGAGGCCCTTGCGAGTGGCCGATTGGTGGCGAAACCGACGATCGGGCTCAGCCAAGCCCAGCGCTTCAACGGGAGCAACTACAACGTGTGGCGGAAGAAGTTCATTCGAAGGGCAGAGGAGGTGTACCTCTTGCCGTACTACCGTCCCGACGAGGAGATGATGGAGGGAATTGCGCCTTCCACGATGGACATGAAGGAGAAAATAGCGGCGTTTAAAAAATCAAAGTAAGCAAGCTTTCTTTCAGCTTTGTCACTCAGTTGCCGATGGAATCGCAGTGGATTTGGACCAGTTTGCAGGGGAGCTGAAATCTGCACAGCGAGCGTGGGAGTACCTGGAGTCCACGTACATGGGCACCAACGACGTCAACAAGAAGGCAATTAGGAAGCAGCTGCTGATGCTGAGCATGGAGAAAGGCGAGAAAATCATCACCTACATCAACAGGGCGAAAAGCTATAACGACAATTTGCTGGTGATGGGAGCCGCGGAGACGGAGCATGAGATGATTGACTATATCATCCAAGGCCTTCCTAAGGAGTACGAATCCGACATCGGTATGTTTATGTACCAACCGCCAGAGAGTTTGATGAAGCTGCAGGAGATTCTACAGACGCTTGAGACGGTGAAGGAGATGAGGAAAAAGAAAGCAGCAGTAGCAGTTACAGAATTCAACGAGGAGAGGCCGGCTTTGGTGAATGCGGCGAAAGCGTTTGGAGCGTGCTACTAGTGTGGAAAGCGCGGTCATAAGGCGATAAACTACTACGAAAATCCTCGAAGCAGAAACTATGAGGGCAAAGCGATGGAGAACGAGAAAGGAGAAAATGCAGGAGCGGAGTGGCAACAGAAACGAGGTTTTGGCGGCAAGTGTGATTATTGTGGGCGCTACGGGCATCATGCCGCAGAGTGCTACTCCAATCCAAATAGCAGGAGCTACAAGGGACCGTCGCAGCAGAGGATTGTGACGGATAAGGCGAACGTAGCGGAAGCGGAAAAGGGGGATGTGATTTTGGGAGGAGCGCATCTTGCAAACGTGGTGCGTTTACCGAAGGATGTTCGGCAGACTGACGGACGTGAGAAGACGGCATGGTTCATGGACAGCGGATGCACGCGTCACATGACATTCAGATCAGATTGGATGGAGAATGTGAGGGAGTCGAGTGAGGATTATACATTGCAAGGTAACAGTGGGAAGTTACCAGTGACAGGAGAGGGTGATGTGGTGCTGCAGAGTCCGTATGGAAAGGTGAAACTGGAGAGTGTGCTGCTAGTTGAGGATTTGAAGGTGAACTTGGTCAGTCAGTCACAGCTTGATGACTTGGGTTGCAAGATATTTTATGACAGTGGCGAGGTTACAGTGTTTGGTCCTGAGTGGGAGAAGTATGCTGATGGTTACTTCAGTGATGGGTTCTATGAGATGAACTTGGTCGCGACGAATGATATGGATGAGATCCATGAGAATCCTGAGTATGGTGAGATGGGAGAACCGGAGGAGTTATTGACTAAGGTTGATAAGAGCAAGGACACGGATGATACGGGAGCGAGTGTGGAGGCAGCAGAGAAGCAGGAAGAGGAGATAGCCGCCATGGAGGCAGCAGTAGTGAATGGTGGAGATGGAGATGGTGTCAACACTTTTGCAGCAGCGATCGTGGTTGAAGACGAAGCAGTAATTGCGAAGATTGAGGGAGTTGAAGCTGTGAAAAAAGACTTCATGGTGAAGGGATCAAACGCGAATGCAACTACAAAGGGGCGAGTGCTTACGAAATAGGAGCACGTTGAGGGGTATGAGACCCGAGAGGTGTTGAGTGTTGAGGTGCCGAGGAGCAGCGAGAGGCTCAAGAAAATGTTTCATGGATTGGATGTCAAGGCGCTCAACTTCAAGACACGTAAGGAGAGGTTCAAGGTGCAGGAGCTGCAGGGGAGCGTGAAGCCGACTTAGACCCTGTGAAGGCTACGAGGAGCAGGGGAGCAGTGCGAGTGGTGTTCGTGGTTGACGATCCACAGGGGAGATTGTTAGGGTTGGTTCGCCCAACCACGGAACCTAAGGCGAAAGCATCTACGACGGCGG